GGCCACTTGCAGTTTCTTGTTCATGTACTCTGCTCATTTCTGTACCGGGTTTCACATTTTTGTAATTGATCTTTAAGCAAGTACTTTTTTCAGTTTGTCTTTAGACTTAGCTTCTGGTAGCTTGTTTGATCTGGTTGATTTTTTTCTGAGCCATACACAAGGTTTTAAATTTTATAGAGTCAAAAGTATTAATCTTTTCCTTTCTGGCTTCTGGACTGCGTAACGTTTAGAAAGGCTTTTGCCATACTAAGGTTATAAATACATCCAACATTACTTATTTTCCAGTACTTTCAAAAAAAATTTTTTTTTAGCATTTAAATTTTGGCCTATCTGGAATTTATTTGGAGTACTGTGTGACACAAGTGGTTAAGCACTTGACTACTAATCAAAAGGTTGGTGGTTCGCAGTCTGAACCCACCCAGAGGTGCCTCAGAACAAAGGCCTGGCAATCTGCTTCTGAAGGTCACAGCCTTGAAAACAAACCCAATGGAGCACAGTTTTAGCCTGCAACACATGGAGTCACCATGAGTTGGAATCCACTTGACAGCAATTGGTTTTGTTTCTTGGAATTTATTTTGATGCTTAACATGAGCTTCATTCTTTTTTTTTCCTAAATTACTAAAAAGCTGCCCATCACCAGCCCACCTTTTCAATGTTAATTTGAGATACCATCTGGACTACATAATAAATTCCTGTATATACAGTGAAACTTGTGACAGTCGGAACTTGATGGGATTGCCTTGTTTTTCCAGGTCTTGCAAGTTTTCCACCTTTGACAGGGTGCATTCTTACCGCCTTTCTATCGCTATTAGAGCAAAATGTTTGACTCTTCCTTCTCTGACAAGTTTCCACCTTACATAGGCTCCGGCTTTCACAGATTTTATTGCATCTGTGTTTTATTCAGAACTCTATGATCTGTCTGTAAGTTCCTGCTCAGATTCATACTATTTTAATTACTATAGCTTTATAGTAAAGCTAGAGAGCTAATCCCCCTTGTCAGCCTTAATTTTTAGAACTTTCCTGGTTAGTCTTACATATTTATTCTTCCAGTTGAACTTTAAAATCTTTTTGTCAGGTTGAGGAAAAACATCCCTCTATGATCTCACCACTGTGACAGCTATCTTCCGATTCTCTATTCCACCTACATGCATATAACACTGTACTCTGCTTTTTCCAGTTTCCTGAAAGTCTCCATGATTAGGTTAGTGGTTGCATGATCTATGGCATGCACGGTTGTGCCATAATAAACTACTGCCTTCACTAGGCATCTTTTCAACTTTCTGCCATCATAGATACTACTGGACTTTATATGTTTCTACTTTTGCTATGGATAGATTATTCCGGTAGGACAGATTCCTAGGAGAAGGATTCCTAGGAAAAGGATGAACTCCTTTTGTCAGTTGTCAGGCTCTTAATGGGAGGGAGTACATACTTCAAGTCAACAGCTTAACCCCCTGTTGAGAGGAGCAGATCTGGATTCCTGGCCTGTCAAAATGACCCAGAACTTAGTTTCCTTAGCACTGGAAGGGTCCTAAAAACAAAAAAAGATCAATATTTGTGTAGCACTGTCCAGTCATTTTCTCTTCAATAACGCCGAGGATCAAAAGTGTATTTTTCCAGAAGAGGAATGGGAAGACCAAGGATCGCAGCAATGCGCTTCGTCTCACTGAGCACAGGCTTAGATCTTAATGATTCCTCATCTAATGCTCGTTCACACTTGGCAGCAGGGCTAAACCTCGGCACAGCCCGAGGCGACAGAAATTCCGACCCAGTCCGCTGTCTGGGAACCCGGCCTACATCCGCGTCCCAGCTTTACCCTGGCGGACTTCGAATTTTCCCTAACACCGCCCCGGCCGGCCCATCGCAGTCGGAGGGCTTCTCACCTGAGACCCAGTGACCACCATCTTTACCTGACGCCATTCAGCATCCTTACCGCCAAGGTATCCAGGGGCCGCTTAGCAACGCTGTGAGCGCTCAGACGCGCTGGGAGGGCGTGGACAGGGACGTGGTTCTACCTCCGAAGCGCCGTGATGACGTCATAACGGAACACGCCTATTCGCCTCGGGCTTTGGCTCTACGAAAGTGCGTCACGAGGCGAGAGTATAGATAGGGGGCGGGGCTCATGGGAAACTGTACCAGTATTTTGGATGAGACTAAATCCCACCACGAGACGGATTTATATTTTCGCCAAAGATGAACCCATTTCATTTTGTCCTTTAATATTAATCCTTTTTGAAAATTTATAAAAATGGTAAATCTAAAGGCCCAAACTTTGCTCCACTCCGAGAATAGTGACGGCTTCCAGCACGAGGGGGGAGGGAGGGAACGTCCAGCCTCGCTCCCAAAAGCGCAGGCGCAGAGCGGCAGCGCGGCGGTGACTTCTGGCCGGCCCTTGGCTGGCGGCGCGATTCCGGCGGAGAGAGGAGTTCGGCGCCTTAGGAGGCCAGGGAGGCTTTCCGGAGGATAGGGACAGGGAAGAGGGTGGGCAGGTTTAGTGGTGAGAATGGTGGCATGAGCTAATTCCTTCTCTTATTATCCCCACGTCATTGAGCGCCCACAGTGCCACCTAGTCCGAGTGCTGGGAGTTGGCGGTTAACTTGCCCTATCGGCGTTAGCAGGTGGGAAGTAAGGTCGCTTTGAGTCCGAATCGACTCTGCAGCAGTGGGTTTGTTTTTGGTTTGGAGGGCCTGGAGCTCGCCAGGAAAGGCGCACCTCTTGAGCAAAGATCTGAAAGAAGAGGAGTGGTGTTCATTAGGCAAGAGCTGGGGAAGGGCGTTCTACGAGGACGGAATTCCTTGTGAAAAAGAGCCATGGCCGCATGCAGGTTGTCCTGCCATAGCCGTGAAAATGAGCTGGACGCCTGTAACCACAAACAGGCCACTGTTCTCCACGGGGGAGTACTCTGTGCCAGCCCTGAGAGGGGGTGGACTTGTTTGCGGTGCCACCGCAGCCTCTGAGAGCAGAGACATCTCACTGTTTTGATTTACATTTATGTTTGTTACATTCTTCAACATGTCCAGAGTAGTAGGAGTTTTAAGATACTAAAAGACACAGAACTCTTGTTGCCTATCACTGCAAAGTTAAAAAGTAGAGAACAGGGTGATGGAGAATTCTGTTCCTGGGGGTGTTGTACTTTGGTGCACAATTGGGTGAATACATCCTGCAGTTAGGGATAAAAATGAAGGGTTGAAGGTTGGGGCAGGTCTTGGGATCCTTGCTAGAAGACCAAAAGAGTACCTGCCCAGAGCTCTTCTCCCACTGTTGGAGGTCCTAGAAAGAGCAAGCGTTTTAAAATCAGCTGCCACCAAGTTCAATCCCTGGCTATGCCATGTGTCAGCTGCGTGGCTTTGGTCAAGGTGCATAATCTCTCTGATTCAGAGAGATTGTTTATCTATAAAGTGAGGTTAATAATTTCTAAGTGCTGGGTTAGTATGAAGATTGTAGATAATGCATATAAAACTCAGAATGTGCTCAATATACATAGGCAAGGCCTGATCAACTCAGTAACGTGGTTTTTGTTTTTATTTTCTATCTTGGTGAAAAATTTTGTGATTTTACAGTCTTAGGACAGATGGAACCATTCATTAGGTGTTTCACAACCCAGAGCTGATTGTGTACTTTGTATTTTCATGTTTCTGACAGTTACTTTTTTTTTTTTTTTTTAAATTCCTTTTATGAAGGATTTTGGCTTCCCGCTTATCATACTCCACATTTGTCAATCAACAAGTGCCATTAAAATGGAAATCAGAATGTTTTTTCAGCGTTCTCAGCACATGTCAAATGTTAACACTAGCTCTTACCTACCCAGCTTTGATCTCTGATAGGTCAGTTCATTGTTGTCTTTTCCATGGTCTCCTAGCCTCATCTCCCATAATTCCTGGGGTGGGGGGAGCAGGATAGACAAAAATGGAAGGGAAACTGAGTGGGACGGAGTGAAGATGAAAGGCAGTAAAAATCACCAGCACACATTGATCCTCTAAGGAAGTCCCCTGTATGTCCCCAAACCTAAAAGGTAGCAAGGCCACCATGAAGTAGATGATGAGCCACAGTTTTGTGAAAAAGAAACTACTTTTCCACTGAAATAAGGGAGCATGATCCATCCCACATGTGCAGGGTACCCTGAATTCATGAAGCCTTATGTGCTCATGTTCTGTCCAGTAGAACTACCTGTGAAATGACTAATCTTGAAACATGGAGCTCCATAGGTGGCCAGGAAGTACTGGTCACCAAACCTGTACCTGCCTCCAGCTCTGTCCAAGGCCCATGCTCCCCATGGCCTTGGACCAGCCAGGCATACAAGGGCATGTGAAGTGGAGCACAGCATGAACTTCGCAGCCTGTCTCAGGCCACGAGCATCGAGTTGAACATCTCCTCTTCAAGAGCTGATTTCCCAACCACCTAGTTTATTGCAGCCAGTTCTTTACTTGGCCCTCAGTGATTTTGACAGTCAAATGGCTTAACATAGGCAGGTGTTCTGAATGGCAGGTGACAAAGCTGACTTTGGCCAAATAAAAAGAAAAAGAGTGTTAAAAAGACCAGAAGTTCTCTACATCATTGGGAAAGCTGGAGAACTAGGCTCAAGACTACACTTCCAGGAATGACACCACAGCACTGGTCTGATGAGGAAACTGCCGCAGTTGCTGCCACTGAGTACAGATTGCTACAATTTGCATTGTTGCCACTTCTACACCAGGAACTCAGTTTTGTGGGTGCTGTTACCATTACTGTGGCATGAAATAGAGCTCCTTAGTCTCTTCCTGTGTCACTAGCTCTTGAGTCAAAGTCCCACACAGGTGCATCCCTGGGCCACATGCCTGGCCCTAGCTTCAGGGGAGGAAAGTCAGTATCTGGCATTTCCGGCTATATAAGTGGAGGTAGTTATTGCCTTTTATCATGGTTCATAAAGTAGAGAATTCCCTGAATATAGGAAGGAGTTCAGTTGCTGAGCAACCAAACCAAATGACGAATGTCCAACACTACCCACAACAAAAACATCAACATAGAATAATCAGGAAATGTTGGGCGATACCCTATAGGCTTGTTACATCTGTCTTATTCTACACATAGAGATGCAAAATCCAAACACCAAGACACCCTCTGGTAAAGAGTGTTAATTACCTACCCAACATCATTCCCCTCTCCCCGAGTGTCAGAACCCTTATGTTATTAGGGGTAGCAATGTGCCCAGCTAATAAACTGCATAGCACAGCCTCCATTACTGGTAGGGTTGGGTGGCTAATGAGATGGAAGCAGAAGTCATTGTGTAAGCCTTCCAGGAAAGCTCTTTAAAGGTGCCCTTTTGCTCTCCCCCCTCCCTTTCCTCCTTTTTCCCTGCCCAGAACACAAAAGTGATGGCTACAGCTCCAGCAACCATTTTATGATAATGAAGCAACTCTAATATTGGAAGCCATTTGCCCAGGGTGGCAGAGCAGAAAAGCCTCAGTGTCTGATGACCATGGACCTGTCATACTTGCCTTGGACCACCTAACACCATTCTTCTTATGTGGTGGAAAAAAAAAATAAACCTGTTTCTCCTTTAAGCCATTGTTACTTTGAGTCTCTGTGACTAGGAGCTGAAGGTAACTCCTTACTGATACCAGCTGTCCTCAGTGGTTTCGCAGGTGCCTTCTCTTCTAGCTGTCCAAGATATCATCATCCTCTGGGGCATAGGAAAATCCCAGGAATGCACTTGAGGCCCCGGAGCTGCTGGCCATAGTGTCTGGAGTGCAGCCAATAGACTTTGACACGGCTTCCTGGGTGAACGCTGGGTCAAAGTGTTTCAAGTCAGCAGGTCCTGCCTGTGAATATAAGCCAACAAAGAGAAGGGGTTACTGGGGTCAGAGCTGCCGAAGGAACCCAGATGCCTTGGAGAGGGATGGTAGGCCTCCCCTGTGAGTATCTCCTGGACACCCTTACTTAACTGTCACCCATGGATTTACATTAATCATTTTATTCCACATGGTCCACTAATCACACATCCATTCCTCTAATCCCCTGCTACTTTGCCTTCTCCACACCAATCCTCAGGCAAGTCAGTGAGTCAACAGATATTACTGGATGCCTACTAGGCACTGTTCATGGCACTGGGAATACAAAATAGAGTGAGCTTCCGTTTTCATGGCGCTTACATTATGCAGGGAGACTTTGGCTCACTTACTCTGGACAAGTCATCCAGGAAAGATCAATCGCTAGAAAAGGACATCATGTTTGGTAGAGAGTCAGTGAAAACTAGGGAAACCCTCAATGAAATGGATTAACACAACAGCCACAACAACGGACTCAAACATATAAAACATCATGAGGATGGCACAGGACTGGGCAACGTTTTGTTCTGTGTTACGTAAGGTGGCCATGAGTCGGAGCCTACTCAATGGTAACTAATAACAACAACAACAGGGAGATTGACGATAAGTGTGTGAAAGAATAGATAAAGACGTAATTTAAGGTGTTGATGGGTCATACGAAGAAGATAAAATATGGTAGAGAGTGACTGGGACTCCTTTAGCTATGTTTGGGGAAGACCTATGTGGGAGAATATAAAAATGGCCACAAATTCTTCATCTCCCATCAAAACCTCCCTTGAATATGTGTTAGCCATGTGACTTGCTTACACCAATGGGTATTACCAAATGAAACACAAGCAGAGGCTTGAAAAAGGCTTACACACTATGGACCGCTCTGACCAGGATCACAATAGAGGGTTGCAGGTAAGGCGGGAGAAAAATGTAGAACAAAATCCAAATTCATAAAAAAGACCAGACGTACTGGTCTGATAGAGACTGAAGGAACCCCCAAGACTATGGCCCTAAGTCACCCTTCAGAGGATCTGAAGCCACTCCCAGAGATCACCTTTCAGCCAAATAATAGACAGGCCTATAAAACAAACAATAACATCCGTGAGGAAAGTGCTCCTTACAGCAATCAACTACAGGAGACCAAAAGGGCAACATTTGCCCAAAAGCAAAGGTGAGAAGGCAGGAAAACAGGGAACTCAGTGTGGAAATGGGGAGAGTGTTGACAAGTTGCAGGGATTGCAACCAATGTCACGGAACACGTTGTATATAAATTATTGAATGGGAAACTAATTTGCTCTGTAAACTTTCACCTAAAGCACAATTGAAAAAAAAAAAAAAAAAAAGGCTTGCATACTGGGGCTTGTCCTCTCTTGCCGCACTTGCGACCCTGAGGTTTGGAAGCAGGTAACCAGAGGAAGGGTCTGCAGATCTGCTTTAGCATGGCAGTCTTGAGCTGTGGAACCAAACAGACATGGTTTCCAGCTTCTCAAAAAGGCAGTGAGTTGCAGTGGTCCCAGTTCACAGCTCAGAGTTCCAAAACCAAAATATGAGTCCTGGCCCTGGCCCTTGTCAGCTTTGTGGCCCTAGACAAGGTAGGTATTTTCTGTTCTACAAATGAAGAGACTGATGCTAAAGAAACTTATTAAAGGTCACTCAAGCGGTAGGTGTAGGAACCAGGAATTTACTCCCAGTATGTCTCACTTTAGGGAGTCCTGGTGGCACAGTGGTTAAGCGTTTGGCTGCTAACCAAAAGGTCGGTGGTTCGAACCAACCAGCTGCTCCACAGAAGAAAGATAAGGCGGTCTGCTTCCGTAAAGATTACAGCCTTAGAAACCCAATGGGGCAGTTCTACTCGGTCCTATAGGGTCGCTATGAGTCGGAATCAACTTGACGGCAATGAGTTTGGTTTGGTTTGGTTCGGTTTTTGGTGTATCTCACTCGTAAGTCCAGGCATTGCATTATATTGCTTCCCTATCTAGTATCTTGTGTATCATTTTCTCTCCAGGTTGTATGTTTAATATTAACCTTACTTTTTTTAAATCCCAAGATGAAGCTTTTCAGATACCCAGACTGAGTGTATCCTATCTGACAACTAGAGTCAGGAATCTCAAGGACATGCTCAGGACTTGTTCAGGAACAGGTAATTCATCAAAGAACAAATACAAAAAGCTAATTAACACTGGCAGTGTTTAGTGTGCAGACTGCTTGGAGGGAGGGGGCTTGATACTGCCCTCTGCAGATGGCTGAGAGAACCTCAAATGTCCACTTCAATGGGGCTCCTTTCACTCATACTACCACTGCTAATCAACACTTAAAAATAACCACCTTCCCCATCCAAACAGCCAATAATGACTTTAAAACAAAGATAAGAATGTAAGGGGGCAGGGAAACTAGATTAATGGAAACAAAACAACCAGAATGGAAATAATGAGAATGTTCACGCATTGTGAAGAATGTAACCAGTGTCACTGAACAATTTGTGTAGAAATTGTTAATTGGGAACCTAAACTGCTGTGTAAACCTCCACTGAAAACATAATAAAATATTATTAAAAAATAACCACATTTACCATAAATCAAAGCTATATAAATTAAGACAATATGAGATGCCATTTTTTACTTATCAGATTTGCAAAGTAGAAAACAATGAACAATGGTACATACTGCAGAAGGTGGGGTAAGATGAAATTCTCCAGCAGATCCTGCTGGTAGGAAGTAGATTGGACTCCCTTACACAGAGTGGACAAGCAGTATGAATCGAGAACCTAAAAATGTTCACATTCTTTGACCTAGTAATTTTCCATTGGGAATCCATCTTAAGGAAATAATCAGAACTCTGGGCAAAGATATGCATTCAAAGACGTCCTTCAGCATATTATGACAGAGAAAAAAAATGGTAACAACCTGAAGTCCACCATTAAGAGCACGGTTGAGTAAATTATGTTATCAAAATAAGATTGAAATATGCAGCCAACTAAAATTATAAAGTTTTATAAGACATGGGGAAATTATGACATAGTTTTTAGCAAAATATGAAAGGGAGATAGATACAGGTATAGATCTATAAAGTATGACCTAACTATGTAAAAACCATGAAGAAAAAAGACTGGAAGGAAATATGCTAACAGTGTTTTCCCTTGGAGAGTGAGGCAATAAGGGTTTTTCCCTGCTGCTTTATAACTTGTTGGTACTTTACACACTTTCTACAATAGATACATGTCATTTTTCTTATCAGGAAAAAAAAATTAATAGAAAAAGATAAAAATAGCTTACAGGGCTTGGCTCTGTCTGGGTGTGCTATGTGACACAGAGCACTTTAAAAACTGTAAAGTGCTCTGCAAGGGGGTTATTGGTGCTAAAGATAAAGGAGTGGTAGTTTGGCTCTTTACACAGAGCTAAACTGGCAGCCAGGCCTTCTGGGTTCTAGACCCAGCTGTGCCTCTAACTTATTGTGTGGCCTTGGACAAATCACCAAGCCTCTTGGCCCCTGTCTGTACAAAGAGGGCCAGCCCAGATACCCTCCAGCTCCCACCAGCCTGGGAAATCCAGGATCTAGATGTCATGACCTCTTACCACATTTGGGTTGAAGGGTGGAGTCAGCCTCTTATGGTACAAGTCGTCCCAGTTAATGGGACTGAAGAATACATGGTTCTTTATCTCAAGCTGCGAAAAGAAGGTGCAGATCAGAAGTAGCCCTTTCCATAAATGCCCCCACCCTACTACCCCCATACTCCACAGAGTCCCAACTCTACCCACAACTAGCTGTCAAGCCCTAAAACCTTTCCTGGGAAAAAGGAACTTTCAGTTCCGGCCAGTTTCCTAGGACAAGAGGACATTCTGCAGCCAGGTCTCTCCACTGCGCCATCATCTAGAATCCAAACCCTTCTCCCATACCATTTGTTCTTTCTGTGGCTATTTACTGAGCACCTACTCTGTGCAAAGGAGCCCTGGTGGCACAGTGGTTAAAGCACTCGGCTGCTAACTAAAAGGTCAGCGGTTCGAACCCACCAGCCACTACGTGGGAGAAAGATGTGGCAGTCTGCTTCAGTAAAGATTACAGCCTTGGAAACCCTATGGGGCAGTTCTACTCTGTCCTACAGGGTTGCTATGAGTTGGAATCCACTCAACCGCAGCCAGACTCTGTGCCAGCACCATGCTAGGCTTTGGAGGTATGTCAGTGAACAAGACAGTAGAATCTGCCCTGGGGCAGGGGTGGTCCCAGGGTAGTTTGGGGACCCCTGTCTTCCAGAATGCAAGCCAGAGAAACAGGCCCAATCAACTCTCTAAGGAAGGTTTGGGAAATGAAGCCTCAGGCAAAGCTGCAGATCCTGAGACCCAGAATTTAGGACTCACCCCTGGGCATGATTCACCACTTTTTCCTAATCAAAACCAGCGTTGGCACCAACATCCTCCCATCCCAGCAGGACTCTCCCTCTATCTGTGCCTGTCAAAGAATGCTTCCCTCACCCCTGTATCAGTGGGCTTGTTAAAAAGCCAAAATATCTCTAGAAGAATACCCCAGAAACTGGTAACACTAGTTGTCTCTAAATTGAGGAATTGGGTGGCCAGAGGGACTTTTTCTGGATACTTTCTGTACTCTTTGAATTTTGATCTATGTGAACGTATAACTTATTTTAAAAGTCATACTTTGCTTTAAGATGCAAATTTCTACTTAGAAGAAGGGGACTTATCTTCATGGAAGGCCCTGTTCTTTAACCTGGAGAGGGAAGAGTGGGCAAATGCCTTAAATGTTGTTAAACTTCACAGTATCTGGCACGTAGGGTTGTTGATAAAAACAGTTAAAAAGCACCTACCATGTGCCAGGCACTGTTCTAAGTGCTTTGCATGTATTAATTCATCTGATCTTCAAAACAGCTATATGAAATAGGTGCTGTTATTACAGATAGGGAAACTGAGGCTCACAGGGAGAAATTAAGCAATTTGCCCAAGGTCCTACAACTAGTAAGTGGAGCAGGGATCTGAACCGTGGTAGTCTGGCCTCACTGTCCATGCATCTTAACTACTATGCTAGAAAGAAAAGAAACTTCTAAGGAGAAAAGTACTGAGATCTTCTTTTTCTAAATCCAAATTATCTTTTTTTGGGTAAAGAACATAAGATTATTTTTAAAGAGGTATTTTAAAAATATCATGAACTTGTTAAAGGAACAGACTGTGAATTATTCATCTCTATATTCTGAGTGCCCAGCCTGGAGACTAGCAAGGAGTAAGAGCGCAGACACTTGTAAATAAATAAATAAAGCAAGTCGAGTCACTCTGCACAGAAGCCAGAGGAATCTTCTTAAAGCTTAAGTCAGGTCATGCCACTCCCTTGCGCAAATCACCCAACAGTTTACCACTCCCTTCCCTGTTCCCACCACAGGACATCTGCACATCCCTGCCATCTGTGATGCCCTCTCCCAGCTCTCTGCATGAGCAGCTCCTTCTCATCCTTCAAGTCTCAAGTTAACCATCACCTCCTCAGAGAGGACCTCCTTGACCATGCCAATGTGAATTAGCGCCCCCCCCCCATTGTCTGGCTTAGTTCATTGTTCCTTTCCTACCTGACACTTGTCACACTTTGTGATAATTGCATATAATATTGTTTGTTGTCTCCCCGTGCCATAAAGAGACCCAGTCTATTGAATCCCTAGCACTTAGCTCAATGCCAGGCACATAGTTTGTGCTCAGTAAATATTGATTGAATAGAAGAATTGATGGATCAAAGAAAGCAGTCAACTAGTCCACAGCAGTAAATTTCCAAATGAACAAGTTAGCAGGGCCTGGTTTTAGAGGACAGCTGGATGCGTGTTAACATGCATGTGGGCCAAGAGCCCCACAAAGGGCCAGTGCTTCCCTGGCAGGTCACCTACAAAGTCTGCTTTGGAGCCCAGCCGCTGCCTCTGGTCCTTGTGGAGAAGGCCTTGCAGGAGGTCGCAGGCAGCCACCGTCTGGCCCCCAGGGATCTGTAGTGGCTGGTGCAGAATGTTCTCATACATTTGGGACACATCTTGGCTGTAGAAGGGTGGCTGGTGAGAGAGGGAGAGAGGCTAGAGGATCATCCATGCTGATGCAGACACAGGTCTCAGGGAGTCTTGGAAAGGTGGGTAGCCGGGTGTCTCAGCCAGACCCATATCTTAGGCACTGGTTCACAGAGCAGATTGAGAGAGGCAAGACACCCAGGCTTTCAGCACAGCTGAGATGGCTGCTGGGAAGACCAGGAAGTCTCTCCCACCAGTGTTAGGTGTGTGGCTCCCAGGAGCGTCTCCTGTCCCACCTCTCTTAATATGATATCCAGCTTGGGCACTGTACTTTGCACTTTGCAAAGCTTACACCATCACCTTCATCATCTCATCCCAGCCTCACAACCACCCCCCAAGATCGGCTGTAATTTTCAGATGAGAAGACTGAGGCTCAGAGGGGTTAAGTCAGGCAGCTAGGAAGGGAGTCAGGCCCCAAGCCTTGTTCAGGGCTCACTTGTGTCTCCTGATGCTCTTCCTCACACCTCCTTTGCCAGCTACTCCTTCTCCTCACTCTGCAGAGCCTTTCCTTCATATCCATCAAGCTATGTGGGCAAAACCACCCCAGGGTAAAGCATGGCCTGGGGCAAATCTACACATGTCTCCCCCTAAGCAGGCAGTTTAGGATTGGGCCTAGGGGCTGGTTCCATAACCTACCAGCACTGTGACCTCACTGAGCCTCAATTTCCCTCTCAGTAAAATAAGAACAACTCTATTTCCTGCAGTGCCAGCGTCCAAAGGCTTTAAAAAAAAATTATGGTAAAAGATATATAACATTTGTCATTTTAACCATTTTTAAGTGTGTAATTCAGTGTCATTAATTACATTCACCATGTTATGCAGCCATCACCACTATGTATTTCCAAATATTTTTCATCCCCCTAAACAGAAACTCAGTAGCCTTTAAGTAATAACTCCCCTCATCCACCCTCTTCCAGTTCCTGGTAACCACTGATAAATTTTGTCTCTATGCATTTGCCCAAAGGATGTTTTGAGGCATCAAAGGAATAAGACATTAGATGGTGTGTTGTAAACTGTGAGCATTATTGAAAATAAAAATAGAACCTCATATTCGCTTTGGCATCATCTCTTTTAGCCTGGAGTGGAGAGGTGGCTCATTTGCTTCCCTGAGCAAAGCCTGAGCAGGCCACATGAGGGAGAGACCCACCCCCAGGTCTGCCCAGAGCCAGGTGTCCCTCGCAGATGGCTACACCCCACTCACCAGGCCTTGCAACATCTCAAAGAGGACTGCCCCCAAGCACCACCAGTCCACCGCCCGATCGTAAGGCTCCTTCCGAAGCACTTCAGGAGCCAAGTACTGTTGGGGGCAAACACACATATTTGAAAGACCCCTAGCCTAAGTTTTCCCATCTGTAAACCAGGCACTTGGAGGAGAAGATCACCAGGGGTTGATCCTGCTGTGACATTCACTTGATATCCGTTTATTCATTTAGCATCCATTCACCAAAGGCCTGCTTTGTGCAGTGCCCTTTGCCATGTGCTGGGAAAATAGAGATCAGGCAGGACCACTCTGTACAGTTGTACATGTTGCACTGCACAAAAGTACCAGTCAAAGGGGCAAAGGGTGCTGAAATCCTGGCTGTGACCCATTCACCAAGCCATGACCCTAGTGCAGGGCTATATCAGGCAACTTTATTTTTGCTTAAAGGGGCACTTTTTCTAATTAGTCTACCCAGAGAGGGTGACCTTTTAATTTGTACAAAGACATCCAATGGGCTCTCCATGCCCTGGGAATAGGACAGCCCTGGGAGCAGTCACGGTGCAGTGGGGAGACTAACGAGTAAACCGTATGCGGCACTTACTTATATGGGAAATCTTAGTGACAGAGGGATGGAGCAGGGTCAGGAAAGAGTAGGTGACACTTGAATTCATATTGACAGACGAACAGACACCATGTATCTATGTGTTGGAAGAGGAGAGGACCTGAGGCAGAGCTTGTGCTTTCTGCCAAACCCAAGGGCTTGGCGATCTCTTAGGTTCGTATCTCTGCCACTGAGGAGAGGTGTCTTGGCAACAGACAGAGCCACCCTGAGAGACTGTGTGGGTCTGGGTAAGGGCAGAGGGTCCCACAGACCTAAGCCCTACTCGGTGTGTGGTCCCAGGCTGGTCACTTAACCTTCTAGGGCCTTGGTTTCCTCATCCACAAAGTGGAGTGCATGATCTGTCCATGGGGGCTGTTTCAAGACTATGTTCTGATGTATGTGCTGGCCTTCAAACAATGGGAGCAGCCGTGGTTCCTCTTGTCTGTGCTCCCTGGCACCACAGCAGCAGTCGAGTCATGGGAAGGTAATGTGTTGGGGCCTACAGAAGGCAAGGTTTCATGTCCCCTGTTCCTCACCCCTGGCAGGGTCCTAGGAAGGGATGGCTGGGCTGTCAGACTTTGTGGGGCCAGTTGTGTCCATATGCAGACACAGACACTGGCTCCTGCTCAGAGAAGCCATCTGTCCATCAGCTAGCCTGGAACCAAACCGAGGAAGCCCAGCTGAGATCCCAAACACAGCTTTTCAAGCATATGGGGGAAAACAGATCAGCTAAAATCCTGCCCCATGTCAGGCTGGGAAGAGAGTCTCAGTTTTACAGCCTCAGCACCTCTGGTCACCATGATGTCTGTCCAAGCCACTGGGAACCCCTTTGGGACCAAGGTTCAAGGTCCAACACTGGTAAGGATTCAAGGAAAGGTTTTACCCTAAGGCTGCAGGCAGGCCTTGGCAGAACAGACAGACATGTGTGAAATTACTGCTGACCCACAAATATTAACCCTCGAGGGGTGGGCCAGCGTTTTATACTTGCAGGTCTTGAACTTAACTCTCAGGCCAGGCCACATGGACTTCACCCTGTAGAGCAGTGCTGTCCAATACAGCAGCCACGAGCCACGTGTGGCTATCCAACACTTGAAAGGTGGCCAGGCCGAATTGAGATGAAGTGTAAAATACACACCCAATTTCTAAGACTCAAGTTAGAAAAAAGAATGTAAAATATCTCAATAATTTTAATATTGATTATATGTTGAAATGGTAATACCTGGATATATTGGATTAAATAAATTCAACTATTAATTATAAAATTAATTTTACCTGTTTCTTTTTACTTTTTAAATGTGGCTGCTAAAAAATTTAAAACTGCTTATTTGGCTTGCATTTCTATTTCTAGGGGACAGCACTGCTGCAGAGCATCACCAGCAGCTGGTCCCAGCAGCCCCTAGAGCCAGTGTCCCCATTACACAGATGAGGAAACTGAAGCTCAGGGCACAGCCAGCTCAGGGGAAGTACTTGGGTGAGCCCTCTCAGCTGTAATCTATCTGTTGGCTCTAAAGAGGAGCCATGGCCTCAACCATCCGATCTCTCCTAGTAGACTTCCGCTTACCTCTGGGGTGCCACAGAATGTGGACGTGGTCTCCTCGGGCTCTACGCCTTCCTTGCAGAGGCCGAAATCTGTCAGTACCACGTGTCCCTGAGGATGAGGGTGGGGTTGGAGGGTATGGCCAGGCCTAACCCCAAAGCTCAGATGCCATACCCCAGAGCAGGGGCTGTAGGGCCTGATGCCCCAGGCATAGAGACCCAGCATTGTATGCCAGAAGCACCATGGGGGGCATCAGATGGCATTCCACTGGCTGCCCCCAGCTCATCACAGACTCAGACCCACCCGCTATGACATCAGCAGCTCCAGACTGTTTTTGCTAGAGGAGCCTGGTGGCAGCATCTCCCGTGACAGAGGGCCAGGGACTTAGCAACTTGGCGGGAAGGTGGCTGATGGAGGTAATGGAGTTAGCGGATACTGCAGACCTCTGCCCAGATCCCTTCTTTGGGGCTGACATGCCCATCCTCCCCTCACTGCTGGGACAGCTCACAGCTGAGAACTGTCCTCAGTGGCACGAACTGCCTCATGCAACATTATGCCCTCCCTAGAGGCACTCCACATCCAATGACTGGTCGATGCAGGAGCACAAAGGCCCAGCCTCCCTGCCTCAATCTGGGACAACTCTAAAGAGCCATCCCTGCTCCAGGCCCTCCCAAGCCCTATGAGACCAGCTAAGGCCTCACTTGTAGCCACAATGCAGGTGAGCTGCTTCCTTTGCCCAGTCCTGCCTTCTTCACCCCCATAAAGGTGAATCTCTTGAAAGCATATAAGGTTTATACTTTCTGAACCCAACTCTCCATCTCAGAGTCTGCTTCCAGTGAAGCCAATCTAAGACACAGAGGGACTAAAAAATCTACTAAGCTCCACCTGGCTCCACCCCTGCCCCACACAGACCTCTTAACAGACATGTGCACATACATATACACATAATACAGTCTCATGTGTACTCAATGCACATGTTCATGCATGTATACATATGTGTGCACACATGCACATACATACTTGAATATATCCTTTACCCATATGCAGGCATGTACAATGTGCACATATGCATGCACACATACACATATCTACCGATGACATACAGCACACATGAGCAGCCATGCCCACATACACACATACACTAACCTGGCAGTCCAAGAGAATGTTCTCTGGTTTCAGATCCCTGCAGAAAATAAGAGAAAAGAGCCCTGTGGTGTTTCAGTCATTTAGTGCAGACAGTTGGGGATCCAGGGTCCTGGCAGAAGGACCATTCATGGAGGCCCAAGGAGGACAGGAATTTGGGTCTGAGAAGAGGAGCCTCCAACTTTAGCCCAGCTGGTGGGCCCTACTCCTCTGACAAGGGATCAAGTTCATCCCCAGGATTTCATCAGGATTTAGGGGTCCACACAACCCCTTGCTGTTGGGGCAGGAAGGCCTGGGTCTGGCTCTAAGCCACACGCAGGCCTCACCTGTAGATGACGTTGAGAGAGTGTAGGTAGCCAATGGCGCTGGCTACCTCTGCAGCGTAGAACCGGGCCCGTGGTTCCAGGAACCGGTGCTCCCGTTGCAAGTGGAAGAAGAGCTGGAGGAGGAGAAGGCACGTATAAGAGGTTTTCCTGGGGTTCTCCAAGCTTCTAGGGTGCAGGTGGGGGACCACATGATCCTCACCCTGTGCAGTGGCCAAGTCACCCCCCTCTCTGAGCTGCAGTGTACTCAGACCAAAAAAGTGCATGCCAGGCCCCACCCCACAGAACTGCAGGTGTCCAAAGTGTCAGCAGGAAGAAAGATTAAATAGCATTTACTGAGTATCTACTGTGTTCCAGGCTCCAAGCCAGGTCCTGTCATGTATCTTATCTAATTTAATTGTCATGATAACCCTCAAAGTATCAATTACACCAGTTTCATGTAAGAGGAAACTGGGAGGGTCAGAGCAGTTAAGTGACTTGCCCAAGGTCAGAGAGCTCATAATGGGCAGAGCTGGGATTTACACCTGGGCAGTTCAAAGATGTGCGAAGATGAGGATCATGTGGTCCCCCACCTGCACCCTAGAAGCTTGGGTGCAATAAGATGGTTATGGCGGTCAAACTGAGCCCAGGTTAGATGTGCCCATGGGACAATCACTTTGGTCTATTTTGCTGGCATGGAAGGCCTTTACCCCCACTGGGGGGGTCTTAGGGGCACCAAGGACAAAAACTCCTATCTTGGCATTAGGCTGAAAGGCATGAGATCACACAGGTTAAGTCTGGAGTCACTAAATTTTGTCATCTTGCCCAGAGAGACAGAGTGAAGTCCAGGAGGGACAAACCTGGCTTGTCCTAGCTGTGCTTCTGGATCACCATATGTCTACTACAGTGACCTGGTCACCACCACCCTTGTGGTCTACGGTGTAAAATGACCAAAAAACCATTGCCGTCGAGTCAATTCCAACTCATAGCGACCCTATAGGACAGAGTAGAACTGGCCCATAGGATTTCCAAGGAGTGGCTGGTGGATTCAGATTGCCCACCTTTTGGTTAGTAGCCAAGCTCTTAACCACTGTGCCACCAGGGCTTGGTGTAAAATGGGGGCACTGGAAACCTTGACCGCAGATCTCCTTTTAGCATTGATCTTTCCTAGGTTCATCAAAGTGGGTCTGTGCGCAGCTTTGTGTGGGGAAGCCATGAAAGCATTATGGCTGGAAGCCAGACAGACCTGCATTCAAATCCTGGCTCTGCCAGGTACCAGCTGGGTGGCCTTGACCAAGTGAGTGACATCCCTAGGCCTCAGTTTCTTCAGCTACAAAATGCATCTCTTGTAAGGATGCGGTGAGGTCATTCCAGCACCTGGGACACAGTGGGCATGTGGGGTGGAGAGCTCCCTGCCAAGAGCTGGCCCAGGGAGCCTCCCTGTAGGCCCACCCACCTCTCCCCCGTTGACATAGTCCAGCACAAAGTAGAGTTTCTCGGGTGTCTGGAAGGAGTAGCGCAGGCCCACGAGGAAGGGGTGCTGCACGTTCTTCAGAAGCACACTGCGCTCTGCCATGATGTGGCTCTGCTGTGGGTGACAGATGGGGTCCATGTCACAGCTCACCATAGCCTCTTTTACCCTGGCACAGCCCACATGGCCTTGCTGGTGGGGGCTGCCCTGCCCAGGACTGTCTCATGCCCTTTCTCAAACAACCTCTATGGCTCCCTATTGCCCTCAGAGCCAGTCTCAAGATCCCTGCCTGGTATTCAGGGCTCAGCATGGTTAGCCTCATCCCCAGCCAGTCTAGGTGGTCACAGCTCCAGCCCCTGGATCAGAAACCCCTATCCCAGAGATGATAAGCAAAGTACATATGATGACTAGTTGCATAAATGTATCCCAAGGAAAATCTTTAAAAGAAGAGTCTCATGGGTTACACATGCATTACTCACATTTATACCTCTGCTCTTGTTGTTCCTCCTGCCTGGATGGCCCCCCACCTTCTTTCCAGACCACTGGAATCATACCTTCAAGGGCAGCTGCAAGGCTGCTTCCCTTGGGAAGACCTCTCCTCCCTATTCCTGCAATATCCTTGTTAACATGAACTAATTCCTATCCTGAGTCGGCTGACTTGATATTCAGTACTCTCTCAGGGCCTGCTCTGCCCTCCTAATGGGGTTAGGTACTAAAGGGACTCAAGTCAGCTGAAGCATCTAGAAGCCCAGGGCTTGGAGGGCCCTTGGAGAGTATACAGTGTGACTCCAGCATTGAGCAGATGGAGGGCCTGGCACCTATAAGCGCAGAAGATGAAACCCTGTGTTTCCCAGGGAACAGCAGAGGGCCAGGAACGGGTCCTCCTGAAGGCCATATGTGCAAGGCAGCTTGGCCTGTCTCCCTTGAGAAGGGGCAGCATTCTGGGTACCACCTGGTCCCTGGCTGTGATCACCTCTGTCCCCTCTTCACCCAGCCCCATGGACCCCTCAGAGTTGGAGGCCATCTTTGGAGGCCACCCTAGGTTGGAGGTTGAGGGGCAGGAGAAGAGCTCTGGTACCTCTTTCTTCTTTAAGATGGACTTTTTTTGTAGCACCTTCACTGCGTAGAATGTCCCATCGGACTTGCGCTTGGCCAGTAGGACCTGAGCAGAAGCAGAGTTGGAAGGGCCTATGGGTGATAGGGCCAATCACCTCCTCTCTGAACTTCAGATTTCCCGACAGCAGCACAGGACCTCCAGCCCCAGCCCTGGTTCCAGGAGTCTGCAGGAATGTGAGCTCCCTCTCCCTTTTGGCCCATGCAAGTAACAGGCGGGAGGTGGAGAGGCTGGAGAAGGGAAGACCCAGATCTCTCACCCTCACCTCCATCACTCACCTTCCCATAGTTCCCTTTGCCAATGACTTTGAGGAAGTCAAAGTCGGTGGGCCGGGCACTGGGAGAAGAGGGAAGAACATGGGTCAGCATTTGTAGGCTCAGGGAAACTTGGTGTCTGAGACCAAACCCTAGCTTCTTTGTAACTTTGAAGCTGGGAAATAAAGGGAGCTTTCTAGGAACCAAAGCCTCCTTGCTGCTGAAGAATGCCTGTTCTCACAGCTAAGAGAGGGCTTATAAGACTGGGCCCTGCCCCTTTGGGAGCTCATCATCAAGTTAACAACAGATAATGCAAAGATAATAACCAGGCACAACTGCATAGACGGATATGGGATCTGGTGCAGGAGTCTCTGAGTCGGGGCTGAAGGGTGTGGAGTTGCTAACAATGCAACCAATCCCATGATTTTTCCACTCCATCTACTTCTTGAAGCTCTTGTGGAAATCTCTTCTCTGTTATCTTGCAAATGGCCCAGTGACCCGTTAGCCCCCAGTTCTGGTCTGGGATGGCCCACAGGATTGGCCGGTGCCACCACAGATTTCATCAGCCTTGAGAGAAGGTGAACCCAGTGGTGGTGGGGGCATTTCAGGCAGAGGGTTCAGCATGGGCACAGGCTGGTGAAACAGTAGGAGATAAAGTTGGGAAAGAGTCCTGGACCTAAACGGCAGAGGGCCTTGAACGGCAGACCAAAAAACTTGGATTTTATTCCCAAAGCAAGGGGAGGCATGTAGGACAGCTGCTTGAGAGATGAGAACTCACTTTGGGTTGGCTGAAGGCCCCAGGTTGATGTTCCCATTGACCCTCAGGTGCTAAAGACATTGAAAGAAAGAGATGATTAAGATCAGCAGGTCTAGACTTCTTAGCCCCTACCTCTCCCCAGGGCCAGGCTCTGATTGCCTTCTCCAACAATCTCCACGAGGCTAGCTTGCTTGCTTGCTTGTGTCCTCCCTTGAGTCCTCCCTCCCTCCTTCCTTCGTTCCTTCCATTCATTTCCTTACCTACCCACCCACCCACTCACCTGCCCACCCATCTAGGCATTTACCTACTTGCCCATCGACCCACACACCCAACCATCCACTCACCCATCCACCATCTCATTTGTTCTCAAAACAGCCTTGGGAGGCTACTGGTTGTTGTGCCCATTATAAGGGTGAGGAAACTGAGGCCAAGAGAGGAGCTGTCCAAAGTTTTACAGGTAGCTGGGCTGGGATTAGAGCCCAGACGTCCTCGCAACCAATCTCATGTTTTCTCTACCCCATCTACTTCTTGAAGCTCTTGTCTAAATTTCTTCTCTATTATCTTGCAAATGGCCCACTGACCCTCATTAGCCCCAGTTCTGGTCTGGGATGGCCCACAGGGTTGGCTGGTGCCTCCACCGATTTCATCAGCCTTGAGAGGAGGTGAACCCAGTGGTGGTGGGTGGGGGACCCAGAACCACTCACCTGTGGACTGGGGGTCCCAGCTGGGCTACAGTCCATTTTGTATCAGTGATCAGGTGGGCTCTGTGGACACAGGGAAAAGCAGGCATGAGAGCTGGTATTGAGGAGTTAGCTTCACCCGTCTAGGGCTTTGGGCACTGCTGCTCTCCCCTCCCTGCCTACTGGGGCCCTCTCCACCGCTCCCCAACTCCATGCATCTGCCATAGCCTGAGTATCTCCTACCCCAGAGGCCAGCCATCCCTACATGGGGCAAGATATTATGACCCCTGGGCCCAGCGTTTCTGACCACATCTCAGTGGGGATGGAGGGAGGATGGTCTGGGGTGACCCCTCCTAGGCTGTCTTTTCAGGGAGTCGAGTGTGGGGAGACAGCCAGGGCAGCTCCAGAAAGCCAGGTAGCCAGGGCTGGAAAGACCCTTGCAGAACATAAGTCTGAAACACTCCCACCTCCACCTCTACCATTTCACAGGTGGGGAGCCTTAGGCCTAGAAAGGGGAGGGGACTTGCCTAGGGCCACATAGTTTGTGAGAGGGAGGTTGAACTCCCCAGACTCCACACAGGTATGTTGGAGATCTTGAATGCCTGTGGACAGCCCAAGGCTGGGTTCTTTGCTGATTATCATCTCCCTGCCTCAAAGAAAGACCTCGCTCAGCACCCCAGCTGCCCTGGGGACCTTGGCTAGGCTATGGAAAGACCCAAGGCTGGCCAGTGTCTGAGGTCGAACATCAGAGGGTGTGACCAGCTGGTCTATGCAGCCAAGAACACAGTATCTTCCCTGCCCCTGCCTTGCACAGTGGAGGAGGCCTGGGTGTCCAGGCCCTGGCTCAGGGTGCTCAGGGCCCCACAGCCCTACCCCTGCTTGGAAAGTCAAGGACGAAAACAAAGACCTCATCTGGGAGATCAGCTGCTGGAGGGGCTGCTGGGCACTATGTACCCCAAGACCACAGCTGTGGCCCACTGTGGGGCCCAGCTGCAGCCTGGCCTCCCTGGGCAGGGGCTGCACATCTTTACAAGGGGGTCCTGCTGACCTCACCCCGTGGTCTTTTTGGGAGCTGAGGAAGTGACCACAGTGGGCAGGAGGCAATCCCTCAGCCCAGGCTGCTGACAGGCCTAGCCCTGTCAAGTCTTAAGGGAGGGAGCTGCAGAACTGCTGAGTAGGGAGTGCCGCCTGGCCTGGCCTTGGCCGTTGGTCTGTATTCCCACAGACAGCGCATAACATTCTGCACACCCTCTCCAGGGCTGTCCCCAATGCCCCTCTGCCAGGCCCTGGCCTCCCTGGCCCCACATACCTGTAAGCCCGAAGCCCGAGCAGAGGCCGTGGACTGAACCAGCAGCTGGAGCCGGAGGATGGGCAGCAGATAAGAGAGCTGCTCTCTGTTCTCCCAACAAGGGCTGATGTGTCTGTGCCTGGCCACCGGCCCGCCCCAGCACAGAGCTCAGAACTCCTCGCAGTCACAGCGAGGGGGCTGATGGATGTCACATGGGATCCAGCAGAGCTGAAGATGGGACTGGAGACCTCTGTTCCCTCGGGGACATCACCTCCCCCTGGGGGAGGGGAGAAGAGGGTATCTCCATGGCCGGGTACAAGGTCCCCAGGGCAGCCCTAGCAGAGCCAAGGGCTAGGGACCCTTGGGGCTTGTTAGGATGTGTGTGTGACTGTGTGGGCCAGGGTGCTGGGGGGCAGTGAGTAACATGTGTGCAAGTTGTTCATGCACAGATGTGTTTCAGTATGTCTGTCGGTCTGCTGTGTCAGTGTGTCTGTGTCTGTGTGTGAGTCTGAGTGTAGATGACGGCTTATAAGTATGGGTGTCTACCAAAGCATGGCTGTGTGTCAATGTGACCACGTCTGTATGTTTATGTTGGTGTGTGTCTGTGCATCTGTGACTGTGTACATCAGTGCATTCTCAGTGTGTGTGATGTGTGTGTGGTGAGTAGAGGAATGAGTTTCAGTGTTTCTGTGCAGTATGTAGCTATGTGTCAGTGTATATTTTTATATATATTAATGTGCCTGCATCAGTGTGCTTGTGTGTGTGTGTGAGTCTGTGTGTGGAACCCTGCATGTGTGTCTGCATACAACCACGGGTGTCTATTAATACATGTGTATGACAGTGTAACCACATGTGTATATGTAGGCCATTGTGTGTCTGTGTGCATACTGGTGTATATCAGTGCACTTCGTGTGTGTGTGTGTGTGTGTGTGTGTGTGTGTGTGTGTGTGTGTGTGTGTGAGAGAGACAGAGAGAGAGAAGGGCGCCTGCCTGTAAGAAGATACTATCCCCAGGGCCTACTCAGGCCCTGTGTGGACCATCCAAGGCTGAAAATAAGGTCTCAGAGACCTCAGCCATGACAGCTGAGACCCCTCCACCTTCCAAGAGCCTGCAGATGTTTTCAGAGGAACCTGGAGCACGTGTGTCCGGCTTGGTCCAGCTGGCCCTGGTTTCAGACTGCTGGGCACTTGGCCCGCTGGGCCTTTCCTTGCTGGCCTCTCAAGGGCTCTGGCCTGCTATCCCCAGAGCAGGCCTGGCTGGGTGACAGCAATCTCGCTGTGCTAAGGGGAAGAAAACAGGGTCCCAGCCTGAACACTGTTGCCTGGCTGCCTAGTGCAGTAATTAGGTACTCGCGGAGTCCCTTCCTCTCACCCAGCTCATGAGGTGTTCTGGAGAATGAAGGTTGGGCTCAGTTCTATCCTCCTGGAGCTTTCTTTATGGCTAGCACACCCCACAGATGAGGGGCTCAAGGGACTGAAGTGAACGGAGTTGGTCAGAGAAGAAAGTGAGTCCAATGGCCTCTGGGGTCTCTAAGGGCTCTGAAGTGTATGGGTTGGGGGGTGTTGGCCAAAGAAAACTCGAGTGAACAGTACCACAGCTGTCCATCTTTCAATAAAATAGAAATGTTGAACCAGTACACAGATTGGCAGGATGTCATGTTGACAAAACACACACCCAGAACAAGGACATTTCTTTCAATAACAAGACCCTAATGGGGCCTTCATTCAGCAGCACTGTCTATACTAGCAAAATAATAGTGATAATATTAACCTAAGTGTCCAACCATGGGGCACTTCAGAGTACCCACAGGCTGTAATAGCTCCTCGCTTGACCTTATATCCTTCTCCAGATACTGTCCTGTTTCTCTGTTCCCCTTTCAGTTAAACTTCTAGAAAGAGTTAACTGGACTTGTCTCCACTCCCTCTTCTCCTTCTCTCTCTTGAACCCATTCCAATCAGCTTTCATCCCAACAATCAACACTGAAACAGCAGATCAGTGACCTCCATGTACCAAATCCAATGATGAATTCTTCATCCTCCTCCTACTCAATTTCCCTGAAGGATTTCACACAGTCACTTTTCTCACTTGGCTTCAGGACTTCTTGGCTTTCCTTCTACCTTGTTGAATGCTGTCCCAGACTCCTATGTGGGATTTTCTTCCTCTTTCCATCCTTTAACACTGGCCTGTCCCAAGCTCAATCCTTGGACCTGTCTATCTATACTTGCCCCCTAGGTGGTCTCAACCAGTTTAACTGGTTTATACTCAACAACTCCCAAATTTCTCTCTCTAGCTCTGATTCTCTGCCAAACTCTGGACTCATATATCTAATTGCTTCCTCAAGAATTCAGTAGTTATACGTCTACAAGCATTTCAACCTTAACATGTCTACAAGAGAATCCTGATTTGCTTTCCTCCTACTCTGCCCTAGCCTGACCCTTAGTCTCCCCAGTCTCAGCAAATGGCACTCCCACCTACTCAAAAGTTCAAGCCGGCAACTTGAGACTCATTCTAGAAACCTTACTTCTCCCTTCACCTCACCTCCACTCCATTGTGAAAATATATCCAGAAATCACTGCTGCTCCTCGACCTTGCTGCAACCACCCTTCCTGAGCCACCATCATCACTTGCATGTGTTATTGCAATAGCTTCCCTTCCGTGCTAGGTTGAAGAATTTCCACCCCCACCCCCAAAAACATATCTGCATCCTAATCCTGGGAACCTGTGAATGTTACTTTATGTAGCAAAAAAGGATTTTGCAGATGTGCTTAAAGATCTTGAGATGGGGAGATTATCCTAGATTATTACAGTGGACCCTAAATGCAATCACAGGTGTCTTATAAGAGAGAGGCAGAGAGAGATTAGACGCAAAACAGGAGAAGGCAATGTGACCAAGGAGGTAGAGACTGGAGTAATGTGGTCACAAGCCAAAGACTGCAGGCAGCCATTAGAAGCTAGAGGAGGCAAAGAACAGATTCTCCCCTACAGACTCCAGAGGGAGCACAGCCCTGCTGATGCCTTGATTTCTCCCAGTAAAACTGACTTCAGACTTCTAGCCTCCAAAATTGTAAGAGAATAGATCTCTGTTGCTTTAAACCCCCAAGCAGGTGACACTTTGTTACAGCAGCCACAGGAAACTCAGACACTACTGTCTCCCTGCTTCCAACTTTACCCACTGAGTCTTTCAAAATGTAAATCAGATCATGTGACTTTGCTGCTCAAAACACTCCAGGGGCTCCCCCATCGCATGTAGAATAAAATCCAGTCTTTACCACGATCTAGGAGAGTCCACCTGATGTGGCTCCTGCCTCTGCCTCTACCTTGGTCACCCGTCACTCTTGACTTCTTACTGCCCTCCAGCCACTCTGTCTTGCCAACTCAAACACACAAAGTACCCTCTAGCCTTTGGCCCCTTGCACTTCCTTTTTTCCCTCTGCCTAGAACGCTTTCCCCCAGACATCTGCATGGCTGGCTCCCACTATTGTCACAGAGGTCTCTGCTCAAATGTCACCGCTCAGAGAGACTTTTCCTGACTACAGGTGACCAGTGTCCCAGTTTTCTTGGGACTGTGGGGTTTCCGGGAAGTGGAACTTTCAGTGCTAAAACCAGGGCAGTCCTGGCCACACTGGACAATACCAGTCCCTCTCATTCCCGTCCATTTTCTCTCTATATTTTCCTTCGTAGCACTTGTGACTCTCTGGCACCTTATCATGCAAACGTTTAATTGTTTATTTTCTGTTTCCTCCAACTAGAATGTCAGCTCCATGAGAGCAGGGATTTTCTTGTGATTTTTGAATTCCCAGCAGGGCCTGGGATGTATTAGGTGCTCAGTAGATATTTGATTAATCAATCAAGGAATGAATTGATAAGGTAATTATCATATGTTTATGAAATAGAATATTATACAACCAAAAAATGATAGATAAGCCTATATAATTAAAACGGGAACACAGACGCAATACGCTGTCAAGTAAAAAAGAGATTTCAAAAGAGGTTTCAAAACAGTTGGCGTACTAGGTTACCATTTTTGTAAAAGGGAAAGACATACATGTACATTTGTGTATTTGTTGTTGTTAGGTGCCGTCGAGTTGATTTTGACTCAGAGACCCCAGGTGACAGAGTAAAACTGTCCCATTGGCTTTCCTAGGCTCTGATCTCTACAGAATCAGACTGCCAGGCCTTTTTCCCACGGAGCCGCTGAGTGAGTTCAAACCACCAACCTTTTGGTTAGCAGCCGAGCGCTTAACTGTTGTGCCACCAGGGCTCCTTCATTTGTGTATAGATACAGAAAAAAGGCTGGAAGGCCATGGCCCAAGGTAACGATGGGTATCTTAGATTAGGTTATTTCTATCTTTGTACTATTGTGTGATATTTCTCAAGATGAGGCTGTTTAGGAAGCACTTAAGGACTATGACCTGGCGGAAACTTTGACATGCCCAGTGTCCACCTCCAACCCTCCCCCTATCACCTTGACTGTGGTCCCCACACCTGAGCAGCTCTTAGCTTCTAAGGCTTCTCTCCTGCCCCACTGTCTTCTGATGCTCTTGCCCAGAGGCTGGCCATCAACACCTTCTCCTGACCTATAGAGGCCCCTGTGACTTCCCAAGTGGTGGCCTAAGCCCCTCCATGAGCCCTCAAGGCTTTCTCTCCCCGTAACTTGTGCAGCCTAGACTTGAATCCCTCTGCTTCCTTACTACATGGACATGCTTACATCTCCATGGACCTTCTAAACAATTCTCTCTCCTTCGAACACTCCCCTGGCCAATCTGACCTGTTGAGCTAATAATGCTTTTCAGCTGTCCTCATTTACCTTCCCCAGAAGCCTTGCCAGACCCCCTCCTGATTTTATGAACCTCACTCCCTCCTTTCTGCCTGCTTTTGTTGTTGCACTTGGCTTCACACTACTGTAATTTATTCATTTACATGCCTGCTGGGACCCAATGCATATCACTGCTGACCAAGTTCAAGTGCCAGCTTGATCTGATTTTATTCTCACAGCTCCATGAGTTAGGAATTATCATCTCTGTATGAAGGAGGAGGAAACTGAGGCACAAAGAGGTGAAGTGACTTCATCAAGACACAAAGCTTATAAATCATATAACTGGAATTTGATTCCAGGCAGTGTGATTCCAACGCCTATAGCCTGGAATTGCAGGAAAAAGGAAGTTAGGAAGGAAGGAAGTTAGTGGGAAGGAAGTGAGAATGTAAGTAGGTTAGTTAGGAAGGAAGAAAATTAGGCAGCCATGAATTCAGAACATTAGTTAGTTGGGAGGGAAGAAGGAAGAAAGAGAGAGAAGAAAGAAGTTAGGAAAAAAGAAAGAAAATCAGGAAAGAAGGGAGAAGTTAGGAAGTTAAGAAGAAAAAAGGAAGGAAGGAAGGGAATTAGGAAGGAGAGAGGAAGGAAGGCAAGTAGGGAGTTAGGAAGGAAGTTAGCTAGGTAACTAATTAGTCGATTCAGCAGACCTAGAGACAAGGCCGGCAGGCAGGTATCCTGTTCATTGCTGAGCTTCTCACCTGAAAACTCTGGATTCCAGCTCAGGTCCTGGGAAACAGCCCTGAGCACGGCTCTATCCTCTCCCTCATCATGGTCCTTCTGACAGGAAACCCAATCCTGACTTGCCAAGCAACCTTCCCAGTCAGGAGCAACCTGTCACCTACTTGCCTGGGCTCCCAAACCGGCTCCCAGCCCTGCCAGCTAGGAGGTGGCTTTGGGGACTCCTGGTTACTAATTAACCACTGGATCTGAATTACGATGCTGGCTGCGCCCAATGGCTCCTGGATGCATAGGCTCTGACCTGGGGACCCTCTGAACATTAAAAGTTACTGCACAACTTAAGTTGTGTGACCTTGAGCAAGCAACTTCAGCTCTCTAAGTTTTATGTAAATTGCTGATGATGGCATGTGTCCTGCCACCAGGGGAAGGTCTCTGAGGTTCCTTTCAACACTGTTGCATGTTTCCATTCTCTGAAATCCCATCTCCCCCTCAAGGTCTAGCTAAAATACTGACTCTTCCACATAGCCTTCCCTGATCCCATCAATGGAGCCACTTTCCCTTTCTCACAGAACCAGGAGAACTAAGAACTAAGAAGAAGAGGGTTGTTCTCACACAACTTTCCCCTGTCCCCTCCCTGATGGGGATCACCAGCCTCTGTGTTTAACCGTTCCATGGACACCTCCAGGGATGGGCAGATCAGTTTCCCCTGAGCCAGCCCCATTTCCTGACATCTCTGGCACACGTCTGGAGCCAAAGCATGCAACCCAGAGTGTACTTGCTCCGGCACTGCCCTGGCAGGAGAATCACAGCTGAATCTAGACATGGGCCCCTCTCTGCTCCCTGGAAATCTGAGGCTCAGGAACCAGGGCTCAGCTCTCTCCGGATCACCTGGAGGAAGGCTTTTTCATGGATGACCCAAAGCTGCCCAGGTTGAGGGTTGTAACTCAAGGCAGGGGCAGGGCCTGGCCTGGGGGACAGGTGAGGAAGGGGCCCCCAGTGACCGGTCCTCAGTAGGCAGCTCAGAGTCTGACTCTCACATTGCTTCCTCTGTTACCTTTTCACTAAAATTTCCATGACATTCCAATTATTCTAGTCCCTTAAAAACTGGCTGCTCTAATGTGCTCTGGAGGATCCCTGCACTGTCACATTCCTCTCCTCTGCCAACACACACATCAGCGTGTGTCTGGCCCTGGCCCAGAAAGGGGAGGCGGCTGGCCCAAGTGCCCAGAGCAAATCAGGGCAGAGCCCAGGGCCTTGCCCCCTTTCGATAGCTGCTCTGCTTCTCCACCAGGCTCCTCCTCCCTTCTGCTCCCAAAGCCGGTTTAAACACACACACACACACACACACACAAAAAAAAAAAAAAATTATATTGCATAACCTGTATCAAAGAATTCCAATATACACGTGAAATAAAACGTGAAACCATCAGCAGAGGTATGAAGGTCAAAGAAACGTTCTTAGGGATAGGGAGTATAGCAAGAAACTGAACCAATGGGAACCCATCTTCACGAATATTCCCTCCATTTGACCTTCCTCAGCATTCTTCTGTCCACCGTCTGGCCCCCACCCCTGCTCTCACCACTACTCCAGCCTGCACGCATCCTCTCACACCTGCAGATGCATGCATAGCCAGAAGAAACAAGAGGCACAGGGGCAGTGCAGAAAAGTCTGTCACTAACATGGGCTGAAAGCAGGACCCTTGGGCCAACAGAGTTCACATATTGGCCAGACATAGGCCCCCAGTTTTCTTTTTGAAAACATGTATTTTTAAAAAGTGGTAAAGTTACAAAATTTTAAAAATCAAACAGGACTACCAGGAGGATAATAAAAAAGATCAGTCCCTTGCTTCATTCTTCAACTCTTTTAACTGTTTCCTTTCATATTTGTCTCCATGCGCTTAAATAGCATGATTATACAGCTATTCCTCAACTTTGTTTTAAAAATTACCAAATGGCCTCCTTTCTATTATGGAACATGAGTATTTGGCTCTCACTCATTCAAACACATACTTGTATGACCTTTTGCTTTTCCTGAAGTTAATTAATAATTGTCTCGTTAAATAGTTTGATATATACAATTCTCTTAAACTCTCTGAAAAACCCCAATAATAATCTCTTACTAACTTAATATATCTACCATTTTGGGTTTTTTTTTTTTTCCATCCTTCTTTCATTCAGCCTTCATCCAGCCTCCCAGCCTCCTGTTCTCACCCGTTCAACTGCCCAGGTGTCAACCTGGCCCCTCCTTTCCCTTTCACTCTGTAAAGTCTTTTCGTCTCTTTTTTGGTTCTCCTGTTTCCTGGATCCTGTCTTCCTCTTTTCTGATTTACTCTTTCATTTTGATGGAGCACATTCTCCAGTGGTTTTCTGTGGAAAGGAGCATGGGAGGTAAAATGTTAAGACCTTGTATGTTTGAAAATGTTCTTCCTTCACACTTGCTTATTTGGCTGGGTACAGAATTCTAATGCGGAAATAATTTTCTTGTGGAATTGTGAGGACATTCTCTATTGTCTTATTTCCAGCATTGCTCTTGAGAAGTACAATGCTATTCAGATTCACATTTCTTTGGATGACACCTGTTTTCTAATCTCTGGAAGCTTTTAGGATCTTCTCTTTGTTCTCATTCTGATTATTTCAAAAATGTAGCTTGGTGTCATTGCTTTTGCACTCATTGTGCTGGGCATTCAGTGGCACCTTTCAATTTAGAGACTAGTTATCTCTTAACTCTGGGAAATTTATTTTTAAATGTTTTTGCTTTATATGATTTGTTTTCTCTCTTCTCTCCTTAGAATTCCTATTAGTTGCAGATTAGTCCTCTATTCTTTCCTATTTTTATCTCTTTGTCTTTTTATTCTACTTTCTAGGTGATATCTTCAACACTAGATTTCAACCCTAGTGTTGAATTTTATCTCTGCAATCACATTTTAAATTTCCAAGAGCCCTGTCTTGTCTCATTATGTTCCTTTTATTTTTATAGCAGGCATGGCTGATAGTGGATTAGCTTCTGACAAGTAGAAGGGTCAACTCTTCTGCTGTAACAGGAAGGATGGATATGGGTGGGAGCAGACTTGCAGATGTGGTGGCAGGAAGGTGGGGGTATTCTTTCTGATGACTTCCATTTTCTCTGACACAGATCATGAGAACATTTATTGAGATGACAGGGGAGGTAGTGGGGTAGAGGCTTGAGGAGCATCAAAAAGGAAGTCAGAGCTGACCATGGAAACAGCTGGTTCCTGGACAACCCGGAGGGTTCACATTAAAGCTAGATACCATCACTCTACCATGGCACCAACTTGCTCAGTCATGTAAATTCCTGGTAAAAGTGTGAAAAAGATGGGCCCTTGAACAGCCATGGTTCTATTCTTCTAGCCAAGTGGTCTGCAAGGGCAGCAGGGCAAAGGAATTAAGCGTTGAAGTCATCGAACATGGCATTTCTGCCACTTTTCCGCCCGCTTACATGGTCTTTGGGAACCTCTATGAATTCTATTAATTCAGCTTGATAGTTCCCCAATTGAAAGTCTGGTGTTTACAAAACTAAAAAAGACTTCACTGAATTGGATGCCCTTGAACATTTATAAAAATGGTCATTACACATGGATCCTAGGGGTTCCCATTGTTTACTCTTCTCAACCCAGACAAGTATATCCATTTATCCTTTGTTTCCTATCTTTAAAATGGTATAAAAAATCAAATCCTTTGGGACCTTTAATTAATAGCAAAGAGAACACTTCAGTCTCTTCGGTAATGGTACTACTAATAACCATTTTGTGTTTTCTGGATGTTTTCACTATGGAAATAGAAACAGACTCTGGCTACATATCATCCAGTTGAGTTGTTCAAGTTTATTTATGTTGCTTCAAAACACTGACAAAACACACCACATCTTATTTGTAACTTTTTCTCCTTCTGTGTACATAAGACACAGATTCACAAGAGCTGATTTAGCTTAAACCAGAGGATTCTCTTAAAGAACAAGTGCTCACACGCGCGCACATACACACACACGCACACAAGGCAATACAAAAAACATAACCCCACCAAAGTGCATATGAACGAAGTGCAGAGGCTTCATTTTTCCAACTCTGGGATCATTTCTTCAGCTTCAGATATTAAACAGAAAGGTCCTTTCTGCCCTAGGCCAGGGCTGGGCTGGGCTGGGACAGGGCTGGGTGAGGCTGATGGAGGCCAAAGTGTAAGTTTGGAGAGAAGGGCAGAGAGCACACAAGCATCAGGAACCACCACCAACTCCCTCCTTTGCTGCTCTCCTCAGGTCAAGGTGCAATGATTTCATCTGGAGATAGAGTGGGGGTGAAGGGGGAGGTGGACAGAAGACAGATCTCTTTCCACTTTTCGTGATTTGGTTTATTTCCAACAAGGTTGACATTCGTGCAAAAAAGTGCTGAGGCCTCAAAGTTTAGAGGCCTGGGGCCCTTTACTCCAAGGCTGTTGGTCCATGTTGCCTTTCTCTCAGGCAAGCATCAGAAGTGTGGTTGGCCAATCCATGTGGCAAAGCCCATCTCGGCCCCTCTTTTTAGAAGCTGGTGAGGTCCCAGAGCACCAGCTGTGAGTATCTGCTGCCGACTGCTCACATCACAAAGTAGGTGACCATCTCTCCATAGTTTGTAGAGAAACACACTGAGGGGGGGGAGCTGATGAGTTTTGCTGCTGCCCAAGTAACCAAGATAAGAGAGAGGCTCCTCTTTACTCTTGCTCAAAGGGGCACCAGTGTAACCTCTATAAGCCCAGCCCTCACCCTGTGGCTTGCTCAGTTTCCTCCTGGGAAGGCTGTGCTCAGAGCTCCCTCTAAGGGCTGAGAGGGGAGGAACATCTGAAGCCTCGTGAGAGTTCAGCTGGGGGCTACATGGCTGCCCTGGCAGAGCTGTCTGGCCCCATGCAAGAGAGGGGCCCTACTGGGCTGTGGCAGGAAATCAGCACAGCTTCGGGTTTCTCAATTCTAAGGGAAAATTAAAGTTTTGTCTTTTAACAAGACTAGCCCTTGATATTTTCCCAACACCAAGCCTCGTATCTGCACTCTGTCCACTTTTGAAAGTGGCCTCCACACATACCCACAATACATGACTGAGAGAAGGGGTCTAGGGAAGGACCATGTGGCCATACACCACAGGCCCATCTCAGCACCTGGGGCACAGTCGCTTGGTAGCTGCTCCTCACCTCCACGTGGGGATGGCTCCTGCCAGGAACTCTGGCCCTTCCCACCCAGGCTGCTTCTCAGAAACAGGGGCCTGGGAGGCAGGTTTGGCAGTGACTCAGTGGAGGCTGGGCCCACCTGGATAGAGAGGTTCAAGTCCCAGACCCCAGCAGGGACCTGGCTGGCAGTGTAAGACAGATGGAGAGTGGTAAGAAAGGCTGTAAGGGACCTGGGGAATTCAAAGATAGAGAAGTTCACTTTCCCAACTCCCAACTTCAAATGGTCTTTGTAAGATTCCGCAAGAGTAAGCAGGAGACATTTAAGGGACAGGTCACATGTAGCCTTATGGTGTGTGCCTGCTAGACAGAGTACCACATTCCCATGACAGGGGGGCTGGCTGGCATGGGGCCCTCACCCCTGCATGGGCAGCACCTTGGCTTAGATCCATGGCTGGGGAGGAGGAGGATATGCCTAGCTTTGGGGGCCACCATGACCACTGGAGCTGTCCCTCTGGCCAAAGACCCAGAGAGTGTCTGACGTATCCTTGGGCTGGCTTCCTGGTCTAGTTACCTATCAGGTCCCTCTTCCCCAACCCAACACAGGAAGGGTGTATGGGGATCATTAGTGGAACCTCAACTTCTGCCAGTTGTAAACAGACTCTAACCACTTACTCACTCTGCCTGGAACTGGGATTTGACAGGAACACTAAAGTGTCAAGTGGTCCAGAACTGGGCATGTTCAAGAAGGCCTCTTGGCCCAGCCAGAGACTCCCAATAGATCCTATGAAAACATGTTCCTGAGGGTTCTGGCTGAGGGCACTGCCCAGGGAAACAGGCAGAATAAGGGTAGGGAAACAGGCAGAATAAGGGTAGCAAAACCAGTGACAGAAAAGAGGAAGTTGTTTTTATGACTAAATATGTTTGCAGTAGGGTCATATCTTGGTAGGGAGAAAGGAGAGAAAGTGTGTAAAGATGCCAAAAAGAGAAAAGGGCCTCAGCTGGAGGACTCCCTCTCTACCAGGCTGTTCTTAACTGCTAAGAAAAAGACCCTTTGGTGATAAAACAAATTGACTGGGGATGTAGGGCTGCCACATGCAGGGCACCTCCATCAGTAATGCTCCCCACGCCCAGTTACACCCTCACCACTAGGCCTGGTGGCAAACCAGCTGCAGGAATCAGGGGCTAGAACTCCACCTTCTCCAGGGCCCCTCTGCTCCTATGCACCTTCTAAGAAGCAACCCTGGAGAGAAGAAGGACCAACCCTGGTCAGAAACAGAAGTGAGGAAAAGGGGAGAGTCAGGTGGGGATATGAGGAACTTGAGTCAGGAAGGAAGCCATCAGCTGCAGAGGAAAGCCCAGGGAGGGCTGGAGGAGGGCCCGGCCCTGCGCCAGTCACTTTAAGGTGTCATCAGTGTTTTTGAACATAAGAATGGAGTTATAGATCTTCAAGGCTGGGCCCAGCTTGACGCTCATGATCTTCACAATGTCCGCCTGTGTCAGCAAAAGGAAGGCCTCGCCGTCAATCATCTGAGGGGTTGGGGGAGGGAGGTAGAAAGCGGAGAAGGTGGAAAGGGTTAAGGGGAAGGGGTGAGGAAAAGGTGGGGTATGCATGGGGAGTGGGGGGTGGGGGGGGAGAAAGATAATTGGAGTAAAGGACATGTGGGGGAAGGGAAGGAGAAGGGAGAAGGGAAGAGGAAGGAAAAGGAGAAAGGAGAAGGGAGGGAGAAAGGAAAAAAGGAAGACAGCAATGGGGACAGAGAAGGAAGGAAAGATATCCACTGGTTTCCCCTTGTTCACACACACGGACTCTCTCTTTCTGCCGACTGGTCTGAATTGCAGTGGTTCTATTCTGTCCTATAGGTTCTACTCTGTCCTATAGGGTCACTATGAGTTGGAATCAACTCGACGGCAATGGGTTTGGCTCTTTTGGTTTTCTATTTGCAAAATGTCTTTTGAGTCTTCACTGACAGTAGCTTCAAGAAACCTGCTATTGCTGTCCCCAAATGAACCCATTAGTCAATCTTAGTGCTGCTAACAGTGAGACAAGCAGACATCATGCGCATTCCAGTGTGATGTAATATAAGGTACACAGTATTACCTATCAGCTATTCATCTTGCCAAAAAGAGAGAGAAACTGAAACTCAATCTAACCAAGCCTCTGTATCTATCCTCCAGTTTACAGGAAATACAGAGAGAGGAGGTGGAGAAACAAGTTAAACAACACCACTTGGAAACAACAAGACAGACCAGGAAGATGTATTCTGTAAGACCTTTTTCAATGTCATGAAAAAAGAGAGGGGACTTTTCTAGACTAGAAGATATTTAAAAATACAAAGCAATATACTTGCTTTTTGTCTGGATCGTGGTTCAAAAACACCAACTTCAAAAGAGCTACTGGGGAAATTTGAATACAGATTGAGTATTAGATGATATAAAGGGGTTACTGCCACTTTGTTAGGTGTTATATTGTGATTATGTAGACAAAGTACTTGGTTTTTAGAGATGCATGCTACAGTACTCAGAGGTGAAACATCATGATGTCTATAATTTACTTAAAAATATTCATCCCCAAATAGGTGAAGCAAGTATGGAAAATGTTGATAATTACAAATTCTAAGGGATAGGTGTGGTAGCATATGATCAGGAACTGATGGTACTGAAGGAAGAAATCCAAGGTGCACTGAATGCATTGGTGAAAAATAAGGCTCCAGGAACTGACGGAATATCAATTCAGACGTTTCAACAAACGAATGCAGTGCTGGAAGTGCTCACCTGTCTATGCCAAGAAATTTGGAAGACTGCTACCTGGCCAACTGACTGGAAGAGATCCATATTTATGCCTATTCCAGAGAAAGGTGATCCAACCAAATGCGGAAATTATCGAACAATATTATTAATATCACACACAAGTAAAATTTTGCTGAAAACCATTCAAAAGCAGCTGCAGCAGTACATCGACAGGGAACTGCCAGAAATTCAGGCCGGATTCAGGAGAGGACATGGAATGAGGGCTATCACTGCTGATGTCATATGGATCCTGGCTGAAAGCAGAGAATATCAGAAAGATGTTTACCTGTATTTTATTGACTATGCAAAGGCATTTGACTGTGTGGATGATAACAAATTATGGGTAACATGGTGAAGAACGGGAATTCCAGAACACTTAATTGTGCTCGTGAGGAACCCGTACATAGATCAAGAGGCAGCTGTTCGGAAAGAACAAGCGGATACTACGTGGTTTAAAGCCAGGAAAGGTGTGGGTCTGGGTTGTATCCTTTCATCATACCTATTCCATCTGTATGCAGAGCAAATAAGCAAGAAGCTGGACTATATGAAGAAGAACAGGGCATCAGGATTGGAGGAAGACTCATTAACAACCTGCCTTATGCAGATGACACAACCTTGATTGCTGAAAGTGAAAAGGACTTGAAGCATTTACTGATGAAGATCAAAGACCACAGCCTTCAGGGTGGATTACACCTCAACATAAAGAAAACAAAAATCCTC